TAAGGCTGCCATAACAAAATACCACAGACTGAGTGCCTTAAAGAACAGAAATTTATTTCTCACAATTCTGGAGAAGATCGGAATCAAAGTGTCGAAGGGTTGGTTACTCCTGAGGCCTCTCTCCTGGGCTTGCAGACGGCCTCCCTACCCGCTGTGTCCTTACCTGGTCTTTGCTTTGTGCTCCTACGTCCCTTTGTGTGTCCCAATTCCCTCTTCTCGTAAGGACACAGTCAGATTGGATTAGGGCTCACTCTAAAGGCCTCATTTTAACTTAATCACCTCTGTGAAGACCCGATCTCAAAATACGGTCAAATTCTGAGGTACTGGGGCTTCAGGAGTCAACATTATGAATTCTGGAGGACACAATTCTGCCCCTCAGACTGTTGCACCATTTAACTAGTTTTTTATTCTTGTCACTCTCTCAGACATTGGGAAATGAGCCCTGTGTTGCAGGAATTTCTGTCTTGTGTGTTATCTGATTTTCCCCATGCTTAGAACTGTGGTTGGAATGTAGTAGTAACCAGAAACTCAAAAACCATTTGTGGAAGGAATATAAAATTCCTTTTTTTCTTAACTTATCCACTGGGTTATCTAACGGTTTCATTTAAGGTTAAATTATTGTTTGCATTTATTTCCCTTGTAATAAAAAATATTGTCTAGAAATTATTTTTAAAAATTTCAGACCCAAAATATTGGAATTCAAAATCATTTCCACCCCCAAACCAGCCCTCAAGATCACTCTCAGATCTTTTCCATGGTGTATTGAAATCTGAGCCTTTCTTTGCGCCTGCTATTTCGCCTTTCCACACTGTAGGCCCAGTCTGGACAGCAGCTCAGTGACCAGGTTCCTGCTGCTCACTGTTGGAGAACCCCAACACTAACTTCCTGGGTTTCCTGCCACCAGGTTTGCCTGAATTTTCCAAGGCTGTGAGGAGCTGGGAAGATTCCATTACTGTGTATACTTGTAAGTTTACCCTTTGCTAGGCCTACTGCTACCTGTGGTTGCCAGACATCAGATTCTGATGCCAGGGCTGGTCTTCATCCTCATACCTGTAGCTGGACCCAGCAAGGTTATCAGGACAAAAACAAGCCGTCCTGACATAGTGAGCAGGCAGGATATTTCTCCTGACAATCTTTCTGCAGATTCTTGTGCCATACGCCATCATCATCACGTTCTTTCTGCAAAGTTGTCAAGCTGAGAGTCAGCCCCAGAAAGTGAAGTAGATGTATAAGAATGGCACCATAAACATTATTACTGTCCTAACAGGAGTGCTCTGAACCCCCCCTAGACAAACCCCAAGCTTTGTAATTCATTTTTCCCCTTCAAGAAATCCACCACTGTTCACTTCTGTAAGACTTTATCCATGTGCACATGCCCAGAGTGAGTGGAAAGCACACGATATGATCTGCATTCCTGAGCTGCCTCCACCACCTCTGGGCATCCTCCCTGCCTTCTCTGGGCTAGGAACCCCTGCAGTGCACCCTGAAAGTGTGTGGGGAGCCTTTCACTTCACTTCTCTCATCCACCCTTCCTCTGAGGCTTGCCTGCATGGGGAGAAGGGGAGAAGCTCCTCCTTGCATGACATCATAGAGGGCATTTCTAGCTCCCTCTAGGGCCCCAAATTAGAATGAACTCAATGAGTGCTTCTTGGAGAAGACGAAATTTCCCCAGAACATAGAATTCATACTAAAAAAAAACAAACAAACAAACAAACAAAGAACAACGTTGGCTGTTATGCTGAAGGCCAGATGGCAGAGAGGAATGAGGAGGAGGGGAGAGGAGATATTCTCTTCATCTCATCTGTTACAGACAAGGGACTTCTTACTTTCTGAAGCTGGAGGGCCCTGCCTGGAAAATGAGTCATCCTACCGTGTTGACTCTGCACTTGCTGGAAGCAGACAATGCGCTTAAATACAGAGAGAGGCAGGCACAGTGTGAACAAAATAGTTGGTTTAAATGACAATTAGGTGAGAAACAAATGGCCCTAATCCCTGGTTTATTCAGCCATGGTAATTTTGCTTCACCACGTAAATAAGCACTGCACCAAGTTTCCTGCATCTCGTGTGGCTAGACATGAAGGTGTCTCAGGTGAGTGCAGGGGGAGGTGGACGGAAGATGAAGTAGACAGAGAAAGCCAAGAGGCAGGGGGTCCTTGGGGCCAGGAGCCTCCTGAGGGGGGAGAGCACCCAGGAGGGAGACGGGAGCCTGGGCTTCCCTGGGGAGTGAGAGGCATCCAGCCCTGTGGGGATATAAGTCTGAAGGGAGCAGGAGCAGAGGGTGATGAGCTGCACAGAAGGCTCCGTCCTAAAAGGTGACATCTGTGTGCTGCTGTGCTCGCCATTTGATGGCCAGACCTTTGATACTCTCTGATCCAGCGGCTCCCCTTCAACACCTGCTGTTCTTGTTAACAAAGGCGCATGTTGCCCTCCCTGCTCCCCATCTGCTTGACTATCACCAGCGGTATCCAGCACCTCTTAGCATCCCCTGCTCTTTGGAATAGCCTGGAACACAAAGCATTTCTCCAACACCAGATCTATTGATGTTTTAAGATATCAAGTATTCATTTTCTTTCAGGCTCATTCCCTTGCACCATGCTTTTCAGCATGGTCAAGCTCATCCACATGTTAAATTCTGAGCTCCTAGGTCAGGGAAATTCATGCCCTCTCTCCGCGCATTTCCATGTTGTGGCCCTGAAGGTAGGAGAGACTGGTTCAGACACAGAGTGAAGAGAAAAAAATGTTTCATCATACTTTATTGTAAATGACAGCAGTTTTGAAGTCAACGGACAATTGTCAATGGTGATTTGGTAGAATAAGAAAAAAAACAAGGCAAAAGGAAAGATGTTTGATTCTAAATTCTGTTTACAAACACAATAATTCCATGATCACTTCCCATAATAGGACTAGAATTTTCTGGAAATACTCCTGCTAGAAAGAAACCTAAAAAATGGATGATCAGCGACAGGGTCACCCTGTGTTCTAGGCTGAGCAGTGAAGTGATCAAGGGGGTCCTGGTCCCAAACAGACAAATGGGCTCCCAGGCTTGTTCTGGGGCACAGGCAATGCCCAGCTCTGCTTGTTACTCCAGAGACTGGATGGTGATTTTTTAAACCATCCATTCTCTTTCCAGATTTTCCACTAATGTGAGTAATTTGGGGCCTGAGAATGGCTCAAGAGAGGCTAGAGATAAAATTTTCTCCAATAATTGAGGACCCTGGGGGATAAACGTATGACAGATTCCACACAAAAAGATTAAAACTGGAACAAAGATTTCCTAAATTGCCCCGCAGTCATCTCTATGGATAGAGAGAGAGAAAATGCCAGAGGGAGGCAGATTGGGAGGCAATAGTGGAACTACACATGCCAAGCTCAGGAATGTTCAGGAGGGACAGTAAGGCAGGGAGAACAGAGAGGATGTTACACCTGGTGCCCAATGGCCCCCAGGTGGAGCGAAGACTGCACAGTGAAAGCTGAAGTCATTGATGCCGGAAATTCAGTCCAAGGTCATCCAGTGCATTTGCGAATTACACGGGTGTTGCAGGGATGTTTTTAGCGCCTACTTTACACCAAGCACTATCCTAAGTGCTTAGCATGTATCGTTTGATATGATTGTGTGATGATGATAAAAATCAGAAAATAACAGTAAGCATTTATGGAGTTTTTACCACGTGCTTGGCGTTGCTCTAAGTGCTTTGCATGGCTGTATCATTTTATCCTCACAACAACCCAATGAAGATGAAGAAACTGAGGGACAGAAAAGTAACTTCCCAGATGCACACACACACAGGACACAAAGGCCCAGGCAGATGGGTCCCAGCCCTCCAGGGCTCTCCTTCAGAGAGTGGGGACAGAAGATAAACAAGAAGCGGGCCAAGCTAATGGTCTTCCTGACAGATTTCTGGCATTGTCTTCTAGTTCTCTCATTCCTGACTTTTTCTTTCTTAATTATGAAAAATAAGTTGTCTTCTTTTCTTCCCTCCTTCCATTGTGTTTGTTTTGTTAATTATTCTATTGAGACATCCTTCTAGTGGCAAACATTACATCTTTTAAACATATACTTAACTGAGCATTTCCCTTTGAATATTAAGTGTTGGTCATTATCCATGATCCCCATCTTCTCTTCTTGCTTGATCAATTTCCATGTCTTGATTAATTTCTTGGGATTTTGTATTCCAAATGGTAAAATATTTTCTTTTTATTTTCCTTCATTTAATAGGTTTTTCTTAACAACAGGCTTAAGATGTACAGTCTTATCAATCATTCACGGAAAATTAATTAAAACAGATTACAAAGAAGTTTTACTGAGTCTTTTTTATTCTGTTTCTTTAATCCTATGTCTTCTCACTTGGATCTTTTATTCATTTGTCGGAGCATTGCTTTGAGCAATATTTTTCCAAAGGATTCGCACATAGCTATTTCCTGAGTCTCGAATATCCACAAACAGAGCATTTGTCCCTATAAATGATATTGTATATTATCTCAGCATAGGATTCTGCATTCCAGTTATTTTCTCTCAGAAATATGAAAATGCAATCCAGTATCCAATATGGCAAGTGAGAAATCTCATACAGGTCTTATTATTGCCTTACATTAGCCTCCTTTATAGAAGTTTTACCAGCATCTCTTGATGTCTGAGATGCCCTATAACACACACGCACACACTTTCACAGGTAAACATTCAGGCAGGTGAGAAATAGGGAAGGTTATCATGTACCTATAGGGCATCTATCATGACATGTGAAAAGCAAACATGGACACAATGCAAACAGATGCATGACGCGAGAAGGACAGCTAGATCAAAAGGACATCAAAGTGACTCTGAGGTGCTAGGAGGACCTTAAGCCACCCCGTCCTCACCTAGTCACATACTCAGGGCAACACCTTCTTTCCTCCAATCTGTCTGCTTTAAATACAGGCTGACTCAGGCTGACTCTGGGCTCCGCATTCACTCAGGCTCCTGCTCTCCCATCTGGACCCTGTCCTCCAGGTGACTCACGGCCATGAGGACCCTCGCCCTCCTCGCTGCCCTTCTTCTCTTGGCCTATCAGACCCAGGCTGTGACCCTGGGAGAGAGAGATGACCAGGTTCCTGCCCTGGACCAGACTGGGGCTGAGGTCCAGGACTTGACCATTTCCTTTGCAGGGGATGAACGTTCCACTCGAGACGCTTCAGGTGAGAGACGAGCCAGCTTGCTGTTAGGATCTGCAGGCCCATTAGTGGGACTTTTCAGTACAAGGACACCGGGCTCAAATTGGGTGTGTGGATGAGAGAGAGTGCGGAATAGGTAACTCTGAGTTTGAGAGGTAGATTGTTGGGGGGAATATGAATTAAACAGGTACAAATATAGTAGGATGAGAGAAAAATCATGATCCTCCATGACCAACACATAGCTGGTAATATTTCTTGTGATTTATGACAAAGAGGTGAATCTGTCCACCCTAACATGACTGATAATTGTCTACTGTGAGTAGACTTGTCACCTCTTAACATATCTCCATGAGGTGGCTCTGCTTCTTTTCTCTCCCTCCTTGCCTTGTGTCTCACCCTCCTCTTCTTTCCACAGACCGTAAGAGAAAACTAAAATGCAAGTGCAAATTAAAGTTTTCCGATTCTTGAGCATCAGTCGTGGACCTGTAACAGTACCATCACTGGCGCCCTCTACAGGCTTTGCTGTCATCTCTGAGCTTTATGGATTGAGACCCAAACCAGTCGGGATTCCATTTGAAGACCTGAAGAGGGGTTTTCTCTTTGTACTTTTTTCCTTTTCTTATTTCTCTCTCCAAAATAAACTTCAAGCATTGAACTCAGTGGATTTGGCGTTTTTCCTCTCTTTTCGCTTTTGACTTTTCATATGGCTAGTTTGTGTGGACACTTGTATAGAGAATTCTGTCCAGAATGATCTCATTAAGTAACTGAGCTTTGTATCCCAGTGCTGCAAAATTTGAGCATTATGAAGCAACAATAAAAGTAGAAAGAATAAAAATGACTGTTAATGACAATTTTAACTTACAAAATTCAATCCATTCAGGATGATACACAAAAGAGAGAACAAACTATGAAGTATACCGTATGTTGACTCAAAGAAACGGTGGACCCAACGGGCTATGTTCACTTGTTGCATAAATTTAAGAAGTAGAAGGATTTGATATATGTAATATTTTTCTTATTTTAATCTGATGTGTTAAGTACATATACATATATATATATTTCTAACAGTATCAACAAGACAGGGTGAACTAAAGCTGTAGTGAGCCACAAACAAGGACAATCTAAAAATTTACCAAAAACAGAAAATGCCAACCAACAGTAGTCGTTTCAGTTAATTGGCCTGAGAGGAGGACAGCCCAGAAGCTGGTCAGTAGAGGTGAGCATGCCCCATGACCAGTGAAATTCATGGTCTCCCTTGGGACCACAAATGGTAAATTAGTTCAATGTCCAATGAGAGAGTTGCTCTCAACTCTCTATCTCTTCAAAGATATTGAATTTAGTAATTATAATGAACACCTACTAGTTTTAATCAAATTCTACCAAGAAATACTATGTTTGTAGTAATGTTAATGAACCAACTCAATACATCAGAATCACGAGACAATTATTCACCCACTTACTGTCCTGCAAAAACTTCAAGAACAACTTATTTGTCAGAAAGAGAAGTCTCTAAACTCAAAATTTCTATAAAAGGCAGAGATTTAAGACTATCATGGCATGAAATAAGAAACCATTTCTATCACAAAGAAAAGCCTGGGCCTAATATTAAGCAGTAGCTCAGCTTTGACTCAACTCGGAAACTCACCAAGTACCATTTACTGATGGATAGTCAACAGTTTGACTCCAAGAAGTAAAACCTCATTGAGCCTCCTCCTGGGTCTGGGAAGATCACAAAAACCTTGAGCAGGAATAATATCAGGACCAAAGAGAAACAAAGGTAACTCCATGAGATTGTCACTTTTCTAACAGTTTTGGTGGAATTTATAAACAAGTTTGTGATCCTTGTCCTTGAGCATATTTATCTGTTGTTGAAGGGGTATGACGAGTCGGAATAGATCCAGGCATGCTAAGTGTATTAGCTCACTGTAGCATGGTAAAGATTATTTAAATTATCATGTTGGTATGAATGTTTCATACTCAAGAGCTGGTTTTCACAAGCTTTCATTGATTGAGCATTAAACTGAGTGCAAACATTGGTGATTCTTCTCTGTGCCCAAAAGCCCTTCCAATGTCCAAGAATCAACCAGCCCAGTGCAGGCTAGTCCTGATTCTTTTTCCCTGAGCTCCATGATCAGAGCTCTCCTCCCACCAGTAGACAAGAGGAGCTGGGATCTCTCCTTGCTTCTCCAGAGCAGGGATCCCTTCTGCTCTGGCTATCATGGCCTAGGCCTCGGTAGTGTATCAGGTCACCTCCTCTGAAACTGGTAGACCAAAAGGAAACAATACAAAGCAGGTGGCTGTGAAGACACAGGCCTATCCCTGGTGCTGACAATGTTGGGCTGTCCTTTGGAATTGAGTTCCCAAGTGATGGGGAGAGCACATTCATGCCTCACATAGAGATTTGAGGATGATGACACTGTCGTGATTTAGGTAAAATGAAGCAAGATCAGGGGGACCGGTAAAGTACAAATCAGCTTAAGCTGGAAAAAAAAATCAAAAGAGGAACCATTGAATCATAGCACAGCTTACAAGGGTGCACTGGGACCCTCCATCGACATATTGACCAGTTCTAATTCCCATTCGAAGGGACCCTCAGAATTCTGTCCATTCTGAGGAGACCCAGATCAGACAGACATCAAAGCATCGCCTGGAAAGAGCAGGAGAACTTGACATGGCTCACCCACTCCACGCTGCCTCTGAGCCAGGGAATCATAGAATGCATGCTGACAGTGTCTCCAAGTGATTGATATTCGATTCTCTCATCTCCTAACAGACAAATGCAAAGACAGGAATGGACCCCTTCCGCAGCTGGAGACTCACAGGCTGCTTCGGTGCTTTAGGAGTTCTTCACCTCCAGGCACTAGAAACCATGAAGACCCCTGCTGTCCTCACAGATGTCCTGCATTTAGTCCTCCAGACCCAGTGGCTGCCAGTTACAGAGAGAGCTGATGAGGCTGCAGCCCTGGAGGAAGCTGTCAGAGAACCAGGATGTTGCTGTCTCTTCTGTGGAAAATAAAATCTCAGCTCAGGAGACTTTTGGGGAGAGAGGTCAGCACCAGCGTCATAATGAGGACAAGTTTCTATTCTGGTCTCAAGATTGGTACAATCAATTTTGTCCCTGGAAGATCCTCAGTTGCTTCCCAAGGCTTCATCTTCTTCACCTGAATTGAAAAGATTTAGCCTGGATGGTCCTAAAGTGTCTTCTTTTTCCATGGGCTTTGATGTCATGACATGTGGAAAAGTCTCTGAGGCTGAACAGCACCCATGGACAACATGAAATGGATAAGCCTGGTTCTGCTCATTGATCTTTACAGAAACAGTCAGGGAGATTGCTTGGCCCAAGAGGCATAGTTTATTGACAAGTAGACTAGACCTTAATCTATTTCAGGGGATATCTGGATGCACAGCAAAAGGTCAAATGTGTAAATATGTGAAAGTGTATGGTGGCCAGGGCAGGAGAACAAGTGTGGTCACAGCATGGAGCTCAGATAAATAAGGTTGTGAGGGCTCAGGTCCTTACTGGCAGGCACCACCCAGTCAGAACTCATGTGGTCTGATGCAATGACCATTGCTGTAGGCCTAATTAGCCCTCCTGATGTGCCTACGCTGACTCCAAATTTAACTCCTCCACTTGTCCTTTCATCCACCTCCTTGGGCAACTGGCTGATGCTCCCTCTTCCTCCAGGCCAGGTCCACATGTCTTTCTATTGCAGCACCCTGCCAGTCTCAGGAGCTCATCTCCAGAGCCTGCAATCTCAGTGGTGTTCATCACAGGTGCTGTTTTTGCTTCACTTCTTTAATGGAGATGCACAAATTTCAAGATTCAAACTGAAGGCCTTCAGGGAAGAGTTGTTACCTTCCCTGCATCCCTCCAGCTCTTTTCTTCACCCCAAATAAAGTCTTCACCACAAGCTTCTGTCTATCCTTTTTTGATGTTTGATATGTGTATCAGTTGGGATCAATGTAAATGCCAGCAACAGATTTCTGACTACAACTCTCTTAAACAAAATACTGTCTCTAAATAATTAGGGAATTCAAAGAGTGATGATGTCCTCAGACAGAGTGGTGTGAATGCACGTGATCCTAAAGTTTGATCTGTCCATCTATCTCTATATCTGTCTATCTATTAATTAGCTATTATCTATCTGTCCATTATCTATCAATCAATCTATTTATTTATCTGTCTATGTATGTATGTATGTATGTAACCAAACATCTTAGGCTCTTCTTTCATTAAATTTGACTTTATTCCAAGGAAGAAAATCCGTTTGCATTAACAACTATAATCACTGTTAGTCCTTGTTTTGTATGGACCTAACACCATCCTTCTCATGGAAACTCCACTGTCTGCATTCCCACGATGTGGGAGTGGTCCCCTGCAGGGGTACTCAATCACAGACCTTTCTCTAAAGCCCTAGAGTCCCACTGGAACCCTTTCATTAATATGGGGGAGAGGGTGTCCCCAAAAATATGATAAGCAGACAAGAGCCTATGACAATTATACAATGACATGTTCTGTGTTTTCATCTGGATATATAGAGGAAGAACTCTAGTGAGTAAGGTATTGTTACAAATTAAAAGGATTTGGACTCATTACATGAACAATGCGTAACTCAAACCCTCAAACCCATTAGTCTCAGGACCTCTCATATGGTCTCAAAAGGCATGCAGAATTCTGCCATGGTGACTCTGAAGCCAGCAGAAGCTCTTGTCCTCTTATTGATCAGGGATGACAGGAGTGGGAGGCAAAGAAAACCATGGTTTGAAGGGGTGTTAGGAATTGATTAGGCTGCATGAAAAAGAAGGGATTTCAGCTTTTCTGAGCTGAAGGCAGATGTGAAGAGAAAACCTGGTCTGGTACCGACAAGAAGAGAAAACACATTTACTCATGACTGAAATGAATGTGTCTTCATGTGTTTGAGTCTACAAGGGACTGAGAGACATGGGAATGCCAATTTGGAAGACAAAATGATGAGGCAAGGAATTGTAAAGAAAGAAGACAGAGTAATAGTGAAAAATGTCACTTCTCACATTGGTTTAAAAGTTTTGGTAAACTACATGAGACATAGAGTCTTCCAGATCCTATAAAAGGAGACATGTTTTTGTCCCATGGATAAGAGTCCCATATTTTGATTTAACCCAAAACAGACTCAAATGATTTTTCCCTTTGGAGCTTAGACAAGCATCACAGAGTCATCAGTAGCTACATAAAAGATCAGAATTTTTCTGGCTTGAGGACAGTAAAGGAGATGTCCCCACAGAACCACATTTCCTCCATCAGCACTGCCATTGGGGTCTACTCCCTGAGCCAGGTCATCACCACTCACTGTCACAGCAAACAGAAGAATGTACATCAAGCACACTATAGTGTCACGAAAACCCACAATATGCGCATCCCAGAAAAACCTCCAAAGACATCATATTGATCACAGAGAGACTATATCGAAAGAAATGCTTGCTGGCTCTTGTGGTGCAACTCGTCTGCACTCCCATTTTAATGTACCTGTAATGTAGCGCTGAACTCCTTACAAAGCTGGGAAAACAGAGGAAGGAGTATACACTTGGCTGGATTCAGAAGTCCCAGGTTCATGTGACAGCTCAATTTCTATTTACCCACCCCGTCCTTAGGCTTTTATCCTCCAATAAGGAGGCTTGTCTACAAGGTGTCCAAGAAGCTTCCCACCTTTATAGCCAGACCAACTCATTTGCTGTTCTCCATAATCACAAGCTTCTCTCCCAGTCTTAACCAACCCCATGCTGCCTTATTCAACCCTGGCACCTTCCTTCCTCACTCCATTCCCCATACGTGGAAACTGTTCTCTTGCCTATCTCCTTGTTCAAACCCTGTTCCTCCTTTGAGGAGGACTTGAAGCCTTTCCAGTACTATAGTGCCATTTTTCTAAGTGATGCACTAACTTCAAATGCTTCTTAAGTTGTAACCTTATATCAATACAGAACTTACCAACTCTACATACTGCTTGTGGTCTTTGTAAACAGGAGAACTGGGTTTCAAATCCAGCTCTAATAAGTGCTTGTTGTTTACCCTTGGATATACCATTGAAATCCTTTGGGTCTCAATATCTTCTCAAGTCAAATTAGAATGCAATTGTGTTCTTTCCATGTATTGTGGGATGAGGATAGCCTGGTGTGACTTCACAGAAGTTCTGTTCATTGACTAACTACTGTATGCCAGGTAGTGTTCTCAGGATACAGAAAAGCATTTCCTCTACCAACATTAGCTAATATTTATTGATTACTAAGTACTCTTCATCATCTGTAATAAGCAATTATCTCAATAACCTTATTAAGTATGTTATCATTAAGCTTTTTTTTATTTGCAGAAGGAAAAATGATATTTTGGGAAGTTAAGTGTCTTACTCAATGTCACAGTAGATTAAGCAACAAAATGATGCCAAATCTCATATAGGTAACCACTACCCTCTACACTCTCTTATCTTTTTGAATTCTAGAGTGTTTACCAACGTAAGTTTTGGGGTTATTTGAGTTTTGAGACCATAAACTGAAGGCTAGTGGTCATCAGACATTTGTCATCTGATGATCTCAAACAGGGTTACAGCCTCTCCCTAATATATGCCTTTGTAAATACCCTCATTTGAAGTTTGATGTGAAGCCCCTGGGACTTCATTTTTATTTCATACTTGAGCAGTGGAGGAAAACTTATTACCAGACATTACCATCCAGAATTCATATTTACAATCATTGTAGAGTAAATAGATTTCATTGACTTTATGCAATGGTGGCTTGGAGTATTGTCGACCTGTCCACAGACTGGGCTGTTTGGCAATATAATGACCAGCAGAATCAACTCATCAAAGGTTCCAGGATGCATGGTACTAGAAGGAGAAACAAGTCCTCATCCTCAAGACAGTGATCCATCTTGGGGTTCAACACATCCTGAGGGATGGCAGGATGCTAAGTGTCTCTGAGGAGTGAGCAGAAATAGCCCTATGGATGCAAAAGTCAATTCTTGCAAGATCAGAGTTAATGGGCCTTTGGAAATGGATTATCTGTGTTTCCATCGCAATGCTTGTGGATATGCTTATGTTTTGGGGAAGAAGCAGCAGAGAGGGACTAAAGAGAAGGAAGAACAAGCAGAGCTCCTTTGTTACCCACAGTCACTTTGTTGTTCCTGTGATCAAGCAGCTCCACCCATGGACATGTGTCCTACCTACGTGCTGGATGTCTTTATGTACCATTGCGACGTCGAAATGATAAGGATCCTGACAACCCCCCTGAGAATCCACAGTTCCCCTGGGAGGGGGCTGTAGGTCTGGTGTACACTCTGACTCATAGCACAAGATGTGAAGAGTTATTTTCATGCCAAAAAAGCACTAACACATGGAAGATTGAGTTCTACAAATTTAAGAGGGGTAGACACAAAACACATAAATGGTGAAAGACTTTTTTTCTTTCTGCTTTTTCTCCCCAAACTCCCCAGTACATAGCTGTATATTTAGTTATGGGTCCTTCTAGTTGTGGCACATGGGACACCGCCTCAACGTGGCCTGATGAGTGGTGCCATGTCTGCGCCCAGGATCCGAACCGGCAAAACCCTGGGCCGCCACAGTGGAGCAGGCAAGCTTAACCACTCGGCCACGGGGCCTGCCTCAAAATTTTTTTAAATGATATAAAACTCCAAAGTTTCTGCCAGCAAAAAAGAAAGCAAAAGCCACAATGACAACACCTGGAAATGATTTCCAATACTTGTGACAAAAAACTCCTTTCACGATTTTATAAAGAGCTCCTACAAATCAATGCAAATAAATAGAAAAACAATTCCATTCCCCAAAATAGGTAACAAAGAAAGGACATTTCAGAGAAAATAAATACAAACACTTCTCAGGCAAGGGAAGATATGGACGCTGATTCCTGAGCGAAATGTAAACCAAGAAGACACTGGGATCCCATTTCTTCTCTCTCAGACTGGGAAAGACCAGAAAGCCTCACAGTCCACGGATCAGCCTGCTTTCAGCCACGAACACCAGGACACTCAATAAACAATGGCTTTAGAAAGAACACAGACTGGGTTTTCCAAGTCATAACAACTTAAAGTGGGCAGTACAGCAGGAGGTGAGGTGGGTCAACTACATCCTCAAGGACATGGCATCTCCTGTGCACCTGCTCCAGCATCCACATGGAGTAACTGTCTTCTTTGTGGGCAAAACACAGCTGCTGCAGGTCCAAGTGCTCCTGTCATCCAAGCAGAGAGAGGGAGGAGAATATAAAGAATAGCACAACAATGGATGTGAGGCAAGAAGAAAGATTTATTTTATTACTCATAAAGGGTGCCCTTCCTAGCAATGACGTTTCATTGGTCAGGACTCTCTTTAGGGGCAACTCTGGGTGGCAAGAGAGTCCAAGACATTAGGTATTTAGAGCCATCACATCACTGCCAAGATTCTAGGCAGGAAAAAAGGATAATGGAAATTAGCTAATCCCAGGGCTTCTACAACACACTCCCTTGTGGGCAGAGAGCAGTCAGTCTGATGTATTTCTGTGAGTGCTGTTGGGGCAACTTCCATGGAGGATGGAGTAACGTCTGTAACGTATAAGATGCATTCTTCGACCAAGCAATTCTACTTCTAGAAATTTATCTAAAAGACTTAATCACTTATGGTCAGGATAACATATATATAAAGATATTCACTACAGTTTTGTTGTGACTGCAACAGTTTAGAAATAACCAAATTGCAGCAATTTTCTGTGTTTTAATAATAAGGAAATTAACACTGGCATATGAACACAGTGGGTTAGTATAAAACCATTAAAAATAATGATAGAGTACTGTACGGATTGATATAAAAGGATTCAAGCTAAATAACTGGGTGAATAAAGCAAACTACAGAATAATGTGTTAACAGTGAGGGTCTCCTGGAAAAGACTGACAGCTGGAGTAGGGAGATGAGAGATTGCCATATGTCACTCACTATGCTTCCTTTTGCATTTTGTTCCCTGTGAAAAAATTAATTTTTTTGCATTAAAAGAATTCAAAGCTTTCAGGGCTTCAGGCATCTCAATTGTTTTGGTATTTCTCAAGCTGGAGAGATGTAAGTGGTGTACATTCTAGGTGATGCACTTAAATCACACTGGCTTCTTGAAATAAATCTGACCTTTGGCTTTAGTCTGACCAACACTTTACCGGGAATCCCACTGAACTCATTTCCCCTGAGCCTGCTAAGCCACTGTAGTCTCCACATCCAGGAGCGTACTCACCCTAGAAACTCAAAACACAACTTCTTAAGGGAGTAACGTCCCTGTATCCTATAATCCATTAATCCTCTAGTCCACTGGGTTCCATGACTGGTCCCAGCGTCTAGACTTCCAGAGATGAGCAGGACCCATCTTCAGAAAAGAAGAGGAACTTGCTCCCTGAACTTCTTGAATGACAGCATTGTTTCTAGTCTTTTTTGAACATTAAAACGTAATCAAGCAGATGGAAAACAGAAAATACATTAGGCTTCTAACCATCATTATCAAGTTGAAACAAGAGAAAATACTAAACACTGCCTTTTGTTTGATGAAAGATATTTAAACAGAGGAACATCAGAAAGACTTGTGGGCACAGCATCCTGGGCCCCATCCACAGGCAAAGGCCCCTCTTCTCTCACTGCACCGTTTGTCTCTAAGCCTCCTCCTCTAAGACCTATAAATACAGGTGACTCTGTGCTCCCCACCCACACCGGCTCCTGCTCTCCCATCCAGATCCTGACCTCCAGTTGACTCCCAGCCATGAGGACCCTCACCCTCCTTGCTGCCCTTCTCCTCTTGGCCCTCCAGGTCCAGACTCAGAGTCTTGAAGAGACAGCCGACCAGGTTCCTGCCCAGGACCAGCCTGGGGCCGAGGCCCAGGACATGACCATCTCCTTTGCAGGGGATGAACGCTCCGCTCGAGAGGCTTCAAAAAGTGAGACACCAGCCATCTTACCATGGGGGTCTGCAGTCCCAATGTGCCACAAACTAGCCAAGAAATTTCTAGAAAATGAGCACTTTAGATTCAGAGGTTCTTCAAGGGTTCTTTGTACACCAAAGGGTTTGAGTCCATGACTCAGGCATGTGCAACACAGCAGCTTCATCAGCAGAGAATAAACAGGCTGTTACAAGGGCCTCAGTACATGGAGGTTGGGATCAAACTAGGTTTGTGGATGAGGTGGGGTGAGGAGTAGGTAACCCTGAGTTGAGAGGTGGATCGTTGGAGAAGGCAGGAAATACACATGTACATGATAGACAAGGATCAGAAAAAAAATTGAAATCCTGTGCTGCTGATATGTATCCGGTAAGACTTCATGTGAATTATGACAAAAAGTTGAATTCTATCCACCCTAACATGGCTGGTATTGTCTGTTGTAAGCACACACATCGCCTCTTAGTACATCCCCATGAGGCTGGCTCTACATTCACTCCCTCCCTCCTTCCCCTTTGCCTGACCCTCTCCTTCCTTCTGATGCCTTCCAGGACCAATCGTCTGCACGTGCAGACGCCCCTGGAGCTGTCGTTTGGGTGAACGCCACTCTGGGACCTGTAGAGACAGTCAAGGCCTCATTTACAGGCTCTGCTGTCGTCGCTGAGCTTGTGCATGGAGACTGAAAGCAGCGCGAGATTCCATTTGATAACCCGGAAAATGGTTTACTCTTTGTACCTTCCACCTTTTCTTAATTCCTTCTCCAAAATAAACTTTAAGCATTAAACTCAGTGTATCTGGCATTTTTCTACTCTCTCCTTTTTTTGCCTTTTCACATGGCTTATTTCTATGGTTCACTTGTATAGAGAATTCTGCCCAAAAGAGTCTTCGTTAAATTTACTGGTGTTTGAATCTCAGTGCTGAAAAATTAGAGCATCATACCGCAATAACAAAAATGGCAAAAATGAAAATAATTATTAATTTCAATTTTTTATCTGTAAAATTTGGTTCATTCATAATGGTACTCAAAAGAAGGAAGTGACTATGAAGAGTACCAGAAGATGTTGTTTACTCAAGGAAAGCTGGATCGAATAGGCTATGTTTATTTGTTCCTTAAATTTCAGAGGTGAGAGGGCATTGATATATATGAATATTGTTCTTGCTTTAAGCAGGTATGTTATGTATAGATACATATTCTTTTCTAACTGTTTCAATAAGAGAGAATGAACAAAAGCTTCACTGAGCCACAAGTCGGGAAAAAGTAAGAACTGTACCAAAACCACAAAATACCAACCAGCATCAGTGGTCTCAATTAATGCCCAGACAGAGGAGGAGTCCAGAAGCTAGTCCGTAGAGGTGGTCATGCCCAGTGGCCAGTGAAATAGTGGATTGTCCTTTGCACCCCAAAAGATAGATTAGGCCAATGTCCAACGGAGGAGTTGGTCTCAACTCTTCACCTCTTCAAAGACATTGAGACTATTAATGATAATAAACCCCTACTAATTTTAATAAAATTCTGGCAAGAAATAAATGTTTATAATAATGCTAATGAACCAACTCAATCCATCATAATGATGAGACAATTGCTCATACACTTACAGTCATGCAAAAAATTAAAGAACATCTTATCTATCAGAAAGGCAATTATCTCAATTCAAAATTTCTATAAAAGGCAGGGATTAAGAGTACCATGACATAATAAAAGAAAACATTTTATTACAAAAAAGGTCTCCACCTGATAATAACCAGGGGCTCAAGTTTGAATCATCCTGGAGACACACCATGTACCTTTCGTGATGGAGAGTCAGCTGTTTGACACCCAGACCTGCACGGCTGCAGAAAATCAGGTGACCACACAAATCAATGGTGTCTGTCTAAACTGCATGCATTAGTCAGATTCTCCAAAGAAATACAACCAACAGGATGTGTATATACAGAGAGATTTATTTTAAGGAATTGTGATTAAGGAGACTGGTAAGTCCAAAATTGCAGGGTGGGCCATCAGGCTGGAGACCCAGGGAAGAGTTGACGCTGCAGTTCAAGTCTGAAGGCAGTGTGTGAGCAAAATTCCGTCCAGCCCAGGGGAGGGCCGTGTTTGTTCTATTCAGGCCTTCAGCTGACTGGATGAGGTCTACCCTCATTATGGAGGGCAGTTTGCTTTACTCAAGGTCTACCTATTGAAATATTAATCTCATTCACAAAACACACTACAGATACATTAGACTAATGTTTGATCAAGTACCTGGGCACTGAGGCCTAGCCAAGCTGACAGATAAACTTAACCACCACACAGGACCTTCATTTGTACTGGGCAATCTTCTCAGTCCCCCAAGTCCGACTTTGCTCTCATTCTTCAGAGGGGTGCAATAATATCTTCTTTCCACTGTATTCTCTATCATATTTTTTTTTCCAAAATTCATGAGCTTAAAATTTAAAGATGTCTTTGATCTACATGGAAATGTCATGCGATAGAGGTTTTGCTTTGTTTTATTTTGATAACTATCTATAATTGTGTAATAGATACCATCTTAGAATCAAGAAAATAGGATGATACTGGTTAATATCCATGATTCACTTCACTGAGTCAGCATTGCTCTGACTGCCTCAGCTGTCCCACCAGGAGGCAGGAAAGAGATGAACTTCAGATCTGAGAGATGAGGAAGGGATACCCGGTACATGGTGACCAGTAGTCAGTCTTAGATCTGTTGACTCAAAAGTTCATGATCTAGACACCATCACTTCCAAACTGTGTAAAATCTACTTCAGAGAAAATTGATGAGGTTGCAGCCTTGAAAGGACTTGGAACAGCGAGCCATGGTGCTACCGTTCTTATGAGGAAGATGAAAACTCAGCTCAAGAGGCTCCAGGTGAGAGATATCAGCATCAGTGTTTTAAGGAAGAACAGAGACTGTTCTGGTCTCAAGATTGCACAACTATGTCACTGCTAATACCTCATTTAATTTCCCAGGCCCTCAGTTTCTTCATCTGAAAACTGAAAGTTTTGGCCTCAATGGCCTCTCAAGGGTTTTCTTTTTCTGTAGAATTTTGACTTCAAGACATGTGGAAAAGTCTTTTAGGCTGGAGAACAGCCATGGACAATATGAAAGAGATGAGCCTGGCTGTGCTCCAGTAGAACTTCACAGAAACAGTTGGAGGGTCAGACACGACCCATGGACCATAAGTTACTGACCCCTAGACTAGACCTTACTCTGTTTCAGGAGAATCTGGAAGCAGAGCAAAAGCAAAAGGGGCAAGTATGTGAATGTGTGTGGATGTGGGGATGGGGAGGTCAAGTGTGGTTACAGCACGGAGCTCTTATAGATAAGGCTGTGAGGGCTCAGGTCCTACTCACAGGCATCACTCAGCCAGAACTCCTGCAGTCTGAGGAATGAGCATTGCAATAGCCCTATCTGGACCTCTTGATGTGCCTATTCTAACTCAAATTTAACTTCTCCAATTCTCCTTTCATCCACCTCCCCGGGAACCTGGCAGATGCTTCCTCTTCCTCCAGGCCACCTGTTTCCAGCTATTGCAGAAGAGGACCTATCAGTCTCAGGAGCATCTCTTGGGGTCTCACCTCTTAGTGGTGTCGATCACAGGCATTGTTGTCACCTGGCTTCTTCAACTGATGCACAAAAATTCAAGACATGGATCGAAGGCCTGGAGGGAACAGTAGGCACCTTCTGTGTCTGTCCCTGAGCTTTTTTCCTCATCCCAAAGAATTTCTTAACAACGAGCTTCTGTTTCTGCTTTTTTGATGTTTGATAGATGTATAGTTGGGACTAATGTAAATGCCAGCAACAGATTTTTGACTAAAACTAGCTTAAACAAAATTCTGGGTCTAAATATTTAGGGAATTCAAGGAGTGATGTTGGCCTCAGAGACAAAATTGTTTAATTGAGCAAATGATACTGAAGGTAGATCTGGCGATCTCTCTCTCTCTATCTCTCTACCCTTTCATTGTCTATTGTCATTGTCCCTTTGTGTGTCCAAATATCCTCTTCTAATAAGGACACCCTCAGAGTGGATTAGGGCCCACTCTAATGGCCTCATTTTAACTTGGTCACCTCTTTAAAAGTTCCATCTCAAAATACTGTCTTAAATGAGGTACTGAGTATTAAGGCTTCAACTTGTGAAGTCTAGGGGACACGATTCAGCCTATAATACTATTTTGTGATTTTATATTTTTCTCTCAACTCCTGTCTCCCTCTTAGACACCAGGAAGTGAGCCCTGTGTTGCAGGGATTTCTGTCTTGTTTGTTAGCTGCTGTATCCTCAGTGCTGGGAATAGTGTTTGGAACGTAGAAGAAACCAGAAACTCAATAAATATTTGTTGAAGAAATATATCATTCCTTTTTTCTTAACTTATCCACCAAATTACCTAAAGGTGAGAAATAAGATTAAGTTATTGTTTTTTCATTTATTTCCCTTATAATAAAAAATATCCTCTAAACATTAATTTTAAAAACCTCAGACCCCAAGCTTTCAGGCTCAAAGTCACGTCATGGTCGCCACCAAACCAGCCCTCAAGGTCACCCTCAGATCTTTTCCCTTGTGTCTTGAAATCTGAGCCTTTGTTTGCACCCGCCTGTGAGCCTTTCCACACTGTAGGCCCGGCCTGGACAGCAGCTCAGTGACCACGTTCCTGCTGCTCGCTGTCAGAGAACCCCAACACTGACTTCCTAGGTTGCCTGCCGCCAGGTTTTCCTGAATTTCCAAGGTGTGAGGAGCTGGGAATACCCCTTACTGTGTATATCTGTAAGTCTAGCCTTTGCTAGGCTCACAGCTACCTGTGGTTGCCAGACATCAAATTTTGATGCCAGGGATGGTCTTCATCCTCGCACCTGTAGCTGGACCTAGCAAAGTTATCAGAACAAACCCAGCCCTCCTGATGTAGTGAGCACGGAGGATATCTCTTCTGACATTGTCTCTGCAAACATTAGTGCTATGAGTGAGCACCATCACCTTCTTTCTGAAATTTTGTGAGGCTGAGAGTCAGCCCCAGGGAGAAAGTACAGTAGGTATGTAAGAAATGGCACCACCCCAACTGGAGTGCTCTGAAACTCCTCCCAGACACACCCCAAGACTTGTAATGATTCATTTTCCCTTTCAAGGTTGTCACTGATGCTCACTTCTGTAAGACTGTATCCACATGTGCATGCCCAGAGTGGGTGGAGAAGCACATGGTGTGATTTGCATTCCTGAGCTGCCTCCACATGCCTCTGGGTATCCTCCCTTCCTTCTCTGGGCTGTGAGCCACTGCAGTGCACCTTGAAAGTGTGTGGGAGCCTTTCACTCCTCTCAAATGCCCTTCCTCTGAGACCTGCCTGTGTGGGGAGGAGGGGAGGGACTCCTTTGCACGATATCGATATCGTAGAGGACATTTGTAGCTCCCTCCAGGGACCCTAACTGAGAATGAGCTCAACGAGTGCTTCTTGGAGAAGAACAAACTTTCCCAGAGTGTAGACTTATACTAAAAAATAAAACAAAGCAAAAACCAACAATAAAGAAACAATGTTCCTTGATAAACTGAGGCCAGACGGGAGGGAGGAATAAGTAGGAGAAAGGAGACATTATCTTGGTTTCATCTGCTACAGATGAGGGAGATTTTGCTTTCTGAAGCTGGAGGGCCCTGCTTGGAAAACGAGTTTTCCCACCAGTCTGTAGCCAGACAACCTGCTTAAACATAGAGAGAGAGACAGACGCTATGTGAACAAAACAAGTCAGCTCACGTGACAATTTGTCAGAAACAAACATCCTCGTCCCTAATGTCTCCAGCCTTAGCAT